ATGTTTAACAGTGTAAAGAAGGTCATGTACAATCATACACATCATGCAGGACACTGAATTCAGGTTAAAGGTAACTGCACCTTACATGTCTTTGCTCTATAACCAAAGCTTTCCATCCCTGAGAGGGTGTGTCCTGAGGTTCGAAACACCAAACTCCTCAGTTCAAGCTGACAGTTCTGAACCAACCAAAATCTTTACGTGGCACAAGAATCCCAGAGGATAAGGGTCGGCCGCCCGAAGCCTCCATAAGCTGTTCTGTCACGCCGATAGAATCGCTCAGAATACCACCTGCACCAGCTGACGCAAAACTCCTTCAGAGTTAAGTTAAGACGCAAGCTCAACACCTGTGTACCAGCGGCAACTCTTGGACCAGAGAGTCGGTACCACTCGGGTCTTCCCTTCCAGACCGAGTACCCAGAGGCTGACAACATCCTCCAGACCTCCGGATCCACACAGAGGGTCGTCTGATCCGTGAGGTAGAACACAGATTGCGTCCGATGCTGTTCTCTTTAAGAAATAATTTAGTTAGCTGCAAAACAACTATTTCACCCAGAACATGTTTTCTCTCTCTGAAAGAAACCTTCTGAGATTCCATCCACGCATCCAACACACGCATTTCATTTTAGCTTTCATTCAGACACAGGTTGCTTTTAATACCAAGTTTAATATCAAAGCCTTTATAAATTGTCGTTTATAAATGGTCATTTTTAAATTATCTTTTAAATTGTCATCTTTAAATTGTTAGTAATAAATTCTTAACTTTTTAAACCTGACTCTTCTTTGAAATGAAACCCAGAATGTTGTATATTTGGTTATTGAACAAGCAAAGATTCCTTTAAATCTTTTGATTTAATAAATTAACTTTTGCTATTAATTTAAATCTCTTAAATTAAATATTAATCTTTGGATTAAATATAGACCAAGCCAGTTTCATTTCATTTCATTTCATTTATTTAAGGACCGTGCACATTAATAAACATAAGGAGGGACCGGTGCCGCCTGTGCTCGGCAGCCTCGCCTCTGTCAGTGTGCCCCAGGGCAGCTGTGGCAAAATCGTAGCTCATCACCACCAGTGTGTGAATGTGTGTGTGAATGGATGAATGACACATTGTAGTGTAAAGCGCTTTGAAGTCCTTACTCTGAGAGGCGCTATACAAGTGCGGGTCATTTATCATTTATTTATTTATTATCATTTAGATCTCCACTGAGCTTTTCCAGCGCTAAAGCCTAGCTAAAACATCCTGTTAACCATAGAGTTTATAAAAAGTAGAACCTGCAAATGCGGCCAAACATAGGCAGCAGCGTTTGATGCAGTGACTACTTTCCTATTTCTACGCTGTGTGCAGGAGTCAAAGTTCATTCAGGAAAACTGAAACAGGACTTAACTGAAAGATTGTATATTTTTTAATGTTTTGCACTTTTAATATCGCACTTTGAGTTTTCTACCTCAGCCTGCTTCCCAAGATTGTTTAATAATTTTCTATTAAAAACTGTTCTTCCTCATGTTATTGAGAATACGCTGTACTGTAGGGTAATGTTATGAAATTTTATGTTTATTAATTCTTGATCATTGATTCAGTCAACTGAATGTAATATGTATTGCTCTATGCATGCTGGCTTATTCAGACACACCCACACACACACATCTCTCTCTCTCTCTCTCTCTCTCTCTCTCTCTCTCTCTCTCTCTCTCTCTCTCTCTCTCTCTCTCTCTCTCTCTCTCTCTCATATGCATTCCTTTCTTATTTCTTGATATAAATAAACAGTGTGACCAGATGTTTGGGGCATTTTGCCTCGTGCATTATGCCACGGTTATAATTGTTTGACTTGTCTGTTCATTGTCTCCTTCTATCTCCACTATAGGAAATGGGCTTATTGATAAACATACTGATAAAATCCATAACAGGTAAAAACTATAGCTGGCTATGAGTGTGGACTGAACGGGTGCCAACTATTGGAAAACTAGTTCGTTTTTTAAACTAACTTTCCCAACACTGGCTTCTGGAGTGTCCAACATCACAGTTGAAATAAAGCATGATTTAACAAGCACATTTATCTGAGGTACCACTGGAAATCACACTAAGTCTAGTGACAAATCCGCATCTGGTCCTTTTATTCCCAAGAAAATCAGACAATCATCAGCATAGATGAGATAGCCGATGCGGTGGAGGGGTTTGAGTGTCTCAATGATCCTAGGAGCAAAGTTGTCTGAGGCTTTCTGCCTCTGGCAGGGTCGCCCATGGCAAACAGGTCCTAGGTGAGGGATCAGACAAAGAGCAACCCGAAGACCTCTTATGATGAATTATATAAATGGAAACCGTGTTCCCTCGCCCGGACGTGGGTCACCGGAGCCCCCCTTTGGAGCAAGGCCTGGAGGTGGCTCCAAAGGGGGGCTCCATATATATATATATATATATATATGTCAAAAATATAAACGCAACACCTTTGTTTCTGCTCCGATTTTTCATGAGATGGACTTAAAGATCTAAAATTCATTCCAGATACACAATATTGCCATTTCTCTCAAACATTGTTCACAAATCAGTCTAAATGTGTGATAGTGAGCACTTCTGCTTTGCTGAGGTAATCAATCCCACCTCACAGGTGTGCCACATCAAGATGCTCATCCGACATCATGAGTAGTGCACAGGTGTACCTATACTGCCCAAAATAAAAGGCCACCCTGGAATGTGCAGTTTTGTCTCAGCAAAATGCCACAGATGCCACAAGCATTGAGGGAGCGTGCAATTGGCATGCTGACAGCAGGAATGTCAACCAGATCTGTTGCTCGTGCATTGAATGCTCATTTCTCCACCATAAGCCGTCTCCGAAGGCATTTCAGGGAATATTGCAGTATATCCAACCGGCCTCACAACTGCAGACGACGTGTAACCACACCAGCCCAGGATCTCCACATCCAGCAGGTTCACCTCCAAGATCGTCTGAGACCAGCCACTCAGACAGCTGCTGAAGCAAATGGTTTGCATAACCAAACAATTTCTGCACACCCTGTCAGAAACCGTCTCAGGGAAGCTCAACTGCATGCTCGTCATCCTCATCGGGGTCTTGACCTGACTCCAGATCATCGCCCTAACAGACTTGAGTGGGCAAATGCTCACATTCAATGGCGTCTGGCACGTTGGAGAGGTGTTCTCTTCACGGATGAATCTCTGTTTACATTGTTCAGGGCAGATAGACTGTGTGTGGCGTTGTGTGGGTGAGTCCGTTGCTGATGTCAATGTTGTGGATCGAGTGGCCCATGGTGGTGGTGGGGTTATGGTATGGGCAGGCATCTGTTATGGACGAAGAACACAGATGCATTTTATTGATGGCATTTTGAATGCACAGAGTTACCGTGTTGAGATCCTGAGGCCCATTGTTGTGCCGTACATCCATGAACATCACTTCATGTTTCAGCAAGATAATGCACGGCCCAATGTTGCAAGCACCTGTACACAACTCTTGGAAGTTGAAAATGTCCCAGTTCTTGCATGGCCAGCATACTCACCGGACATGTCACCCATTGAGCATGTTTGGGATGTGCTTGACAGGCGTATACAACAGCATGTACAATTTCCCACTAATATTAAACAACTTCGCACAGCCATTGAAGAGGAGTGGACCAACATTCCACAGGCCACAATTGACAATCTGATAAACTATATGCGAAGAAGATGTGTTGCACTGCATGAGGCAAATGGTGGTCACACCAGATACTGACCGGTTCTGAGTCCCCAGACCCCCAATAAAGCAAAAAACTGCACATTCCAGGGTGGCCTTTTATTGTGGGCAGTATAAGGTACACCTGTGCACTACTCATGATGTCAGATCAGCATCTTGATGTGGCACACCTATGAGGTGTGATGGATTACCTCAGAAAAGCACAGATGTTCACTATCACACATTTAGACTGATTTGTGAACAATGTTTGAGAGAAATGGTAATATTGTGTATCTGGAATGAATTTTAGATCTTTAAGTCCATCTCATGAAAAATTGGAGCAGAAACAAAGGTGTTGCATTTATATTTTTGCTGAGTGTACATATTAAAGGAGAATGAAGAAAGAGTAACATCCTATGGTCTAATTTGGGTACTGCAGTTTATGTTTCACAACAAACAAGTGACGTCCATGCCGTTTCACAAGTTTCATGGCTGTTGGGTGTTCAGAAGATCAGAAGCTTGTAGACAATGAGAGAAGACAAGTCTTGCATTTAAAAAAGTATAAAAAAATAAAAGTTATTGTAAAATCAAATAGTTGGTTATTGAAAAAGCAACTCAAGATTTTCTTAAAACCAACGGTAACACTTTACAGTAAGAGTCCCTTTGTTAATGTTCCTGAGTGCATTAATAAATTATTAACAACTGCTTGATGTTAACGTTAATATTAAGTACTGCATTACCAAGCAGACACCCCCTGGCCCTTTGACATAACCTGAAGGACACTTAATAGTTAAAAATAACACTGAACATTAATAAAGGGATCCTTTTTTTCTTAACGTTTAATAATGTACTCAGTAACATTAATAAAGGGACTCTTATTGTAAAGTGTTATCAAGCCAACTATTTGTTTCTAATTATTTGTTAGCTCACCGTTAGCCTCTAGCTTTCTTTATTCGATATCAGAGTAAAACAAAAAGGATGCCGTGCTCGTGGCGTTTTAGGGTTACAAGAAAGTAGTCCTTTCTTGAAGAACCAGTCTACCCTAACAACTGCAAATTTTAGCTCAATGTCTATGAATCAAACTGAAAAAGAGCCATTTCACAATAATGACCAGCAGTCATCTTGATATAGACTGACCTGCAAGGTTAATGAGTCATAGCTATTTTGCTAATCACATAAAATTTAATTTAGTTTCCATCAACAAACAAAACATCTTCTGAGGAATTCTGCATCTGAAACTAAAGCCGACGTCACAAAACTATGGCTGGTCAATAAAATAACTGAGCTCTGTTTCCATTAGGACTCCCCTACTTGGTGACAGCTGGTACTAAATTTGGACGTTGTTTTGTCCCGTGTGTGCTGTAGCAGCCAGACATGAGGGGCTCAGATGACAGCTGGGAGTGGAAAGAAGCTGCTCCTGGGCAGGGTCAATGGGAGCTTACACACTTCCGTCAAAGTAATTGTATTCAAGCTTTGCTGTTGGATCTGAGTCTTTGTCTTTGGTTCACAATGAGGACCGTGACACTGATCTCCAGGGACTGAAGAGGTTTTAGAGTCAGGATTCAGCATGGCTCCACTCCTGAGAGTTGCTCTGCTGCTGCTGCTTCTTACAGGTGAGAGTCAAAGTTTGATTTAACACATCACACCATCTCTCTTTCCATCCCTCTTATTTTAAAATATCCAGACTTTAGAAAATAATCTGAAAAGGATTTCTATCTTAAATGTTCAGAGATTAAGAGTCTAGACTAGAGGCTTCTTTGTATTTTCCTCCCTCATCATCCAGGCTTGTTGACACGTTAGTTTCAGTAGGAAAATCTTATTCATCTGAAATAGCTAGCCAAAAGTTGTTTTTTAATGTTGTTATTTAATATTTTATTGTAAATATCTGGCTTCAATCTGTGTAAGGGTTTTCCTATGTTAAATATCTCAATTTTCATTTATCATGTATCTTTTGATGTGAGAGTTGTGCACCAAAACTTTTACTACAGAGAAAAAATCAAACCTGGCTCAACAGGACCTGGCAGACTGCCAAGACTGTGGAAAACACAAACAAGTCCTCACACTTGTCAAATGCAATCAAATCTGAGGGCATTGTTGTCTCAGAGAAAATTAAAATGGTAAATCCTTCAATAACCACTTTATCAAGTCCGGTCAAGCCTTTGCAACAGCTTCACATGTCTCTGGGGTCTCAGACCTCGACTCAGCTACAAGCAACGATTCCCTCTCTGCATGCAATTCCTGTTTCTCTATTCAGTTGTTTCAGGTAAATGAGGTACTTGACGAGTTGCTCAGGTTAGATCCTTATAAATCAACCGAACTGGACACTCTTGACCTTTTCTTTCTGAACATAGCAGCACATGTTATTGCTGCACCTATTACCCATCTATTTAATCTGTCCATACAAACTGGTGCATTTCCGCAGGACTGCAAATTGGCATCTGTTTCTCCACTCTTTAAAGTGGGAGATCATTCTGACCTAAGTTGTTACAGGCCTATCCCTATCCTGCCTTGCCTCTCTAAAGTCATTGAAAAGTTAGTCAACAAACAGCTATCTGGAATCCAGCAGTATTATTACCTCCATGCAGTCTGGCTTCAGAACTGGTCATGGATGTATCTCTGCAACACTTAAAGTGCTAAATGGCATCATACGTGCCATTGACAAGGAATATTGTGTAGCTGTGGTTGTTGACTTTGGCTAAAGTCTTTGACTCTGGATCATAACATCTTCCTTAGCAGACTCAAACATACAGGGCTTTCTCAGGCATCCGTGGCTTGGTTCAGAAGTTATATCGAAGGCCGTACACAAACAGTGAGAACAAAGTTGCCAATCTGCTCCTCTACCTCTATCTATGGGTGTTCCTCAAGCGTCCATACTGGGCCCAATCTAATTCAGAATCTTTATTGATTACATTGTTCATGCTGTTGACAGTTCTCATAAACATTTCTATGCGGATGACACAGTTTTATATGCATTCAGTTCTTCCTTGAACACAGCTTTGTCCTCCTTGCAGCACAACTTTACTTGTCTTCAACATGCCTTCTCCAACTTTCATCTTCGTTTAAACACAAGTAAAACAAAGTTCATGACCTTCAACCGTAACTTTAGTATTGTTTCCCTGGATGGTACAGAACTACAACTTGTCAGTTATAAGTATTTGGGTATCTGGCTTGGCAGCACACTTTAATTTGACGTTCACATTAATTCATTACTTTCTAAAGTCAAGAACTGTGTTTCTATACAGCAACAGGTCATTCTTTACACATTCTGCAAAGCAAGCCTTGGTCAAAATGGCAGTTCTTTCCATCTTAGATTACGGTGACATCATTTATAGAACTGCTTCCAAATAAAGTCTTCATAAACTCGATGCCATTTATCACTCAGCAATCTGTTTGTCACTGGTGCCCCTTTCACAACTTATCATTGTTAATTTGATCATGTGATCTGTACTCACTCGTTAACTGGCCATCACTCCAGTCCCGCAGGTTGTTACATTGGTACAAGTTTGTATACAAAGCAATCATTGATAGAACACCACCATATCTTCGCTCATTACTCATCACTTCTCACAACCAGCACAATTTATGTTCCATTAACTTAATCTCTATGGAAGGGCTATTAAATTCCAGACCTCAAGGGCATGTTTTACTGGTTTCTCTGATCCAATACACTAGATTCAGTTGTTAAATCACCTGTGCAGCTGCTCATCAGGCTCTGCAGAAGCCTGTTAATCACCTACTAATTGAAATCAGGTGTGTTAAAGTAGGGTTAAAACCAAAATTTGCTTAAAACCGGCCCTTGAGGCCCAGAATTGAATAGCCCTGCTCTATGGTTATTCCCAAAGCTCGCACCTCCTTTCGCCACTCCTCATTCCAGTTTGCTGCTTCCAACAACTGGAATGAGCTGCAAAATTCACTAAAGCTCACTACCTACACCCCGTTGTCTACCTTCAGTAATTCCTTGCAATAAATAGTTTCTGATCAATGTGCCTGCTTATGAGTACTTAAAGATTGTTTAACCCTCTCGGGGCAGGTGTTGCAGATTTGTAACATTTAAGAACTACCCGTTTGGTTAGGGTTCGTTCGACTTTCCTCGGAAGTCGGAACTCCGAACTAGGAATGACGTCACACCCGAGTTAACAGCGTTCTGGTTGCTGGAGATGGAGAAGTCGGGATTCCAGTATAGCGACGCCCTCGAAAACTGCTGTTTTGTTCTCAACGAACACAGACAACTCAAAAACACACATAAAGCTCATCTTCAAAAAATATTTGAAGAGAGACAAAGACGATCTAAAACAATACTTTTAGATTGTTCAGCTTGGAGTTGCAGGCGCTACATATAACATTGATTTTAGATGCACTCTTACAAGTGTGTCTTGTAAAATAAACACATTTCAATCAAAACTACTGTTGGTGATACGGAGAGCTGCCATTTTGGATCTCAAAGTCGGGGTTGTGAAAATTTTTAGAGTTTCCGACTGGGAGATCCGACGTGGGGGGTTCATTTGATTTGTCCTACTCGGAGGTGGGGATTTCCGAGTTCCGAGGGCAAGTCAAATGCACTATAACACATATTTCATTAGCATTTTGTTACTCAGAAGTACCCCTGAGCCTGAGAGGGTTGAGTCTGTTTTGATTGCTTGTCCATTGTGTATATGAGATCAGTCCATTGTCTTCATGTCCAACTGTTTTATCTTATTTGTATCTTATCTGTTTTTCTTTGGTGTAAAGCTAACTATGTGCTGTTGCTGCTGCCTCTTGGCCAGACCGTCATTGTAAATGAGAATGAGTTATCAATCGACTCATCTGGTTAAATAAACATTAAACTAAATAAAATAAAATAAATAAAAACCTGGAAACACGTTTCGAACCCAAACGCATTGCACATATCCTTCTGCTGGGCCTCTGTTCTGAGGAGCAGCTAACAGCTTGTACAAATGCAGCATCAAAATTAATTGTTGCTGTCTTTATAGGCCTCCTTCACACAGGAACTTTTAAGCATTTTTAAGCATAAAAAATAACTGTTTCCTCTTCTCTTTGCTGTGTGCTTGTCTTTTCAAAACTTTAATCTAACTTCTATAATGTCTCGTTAGCCTTCATTGGTTTCTACAGGAGCGATCTATCATTAAATCACACAAATGAGCTGTGTTCATGATCTAAACCATAAAGCAAACATGCTGGATGCACACTTCGGTGCTAGCATGTCAGCCAGCAACTTTAATATTGATCAAGTAAGTAAGAATATTTTATTTATATAGCACTTATCACAGACATAGAATCATACATTGCTTCACGTAGATCAAAACAAAATACAACATAAAGTCATTAAATCATAATGATCTCTAAACAGAAATAGATTCACATCAGATAAAATAAAGTCATTAAATTATAAAATTCCATAAACATACGAAAGATGAAATTTGAGTTAGAAATAAAGGGTCTTTAGCTGTATTTTTTTTTAAAGAGTCAAGACTGTCATTACATAAGGATAAAGGAAGATCATTCCAAAGTCAGGGTGCAACAGTCTGGAAGGAGCGATCACCCTAACCCTAACCCTTCTAGAAGGTTCTGGTGGGTGGATCTGAGGGCTCGGGTTGGAATATAAGGCTTTAACAGTTCAGTAATATAGGGAGGAGCCTGACCATGTGGAGCCCTGAAAGGTCTAGTCAGGATTCTAAAGTGAACTATAAAGTGAACGGGTAACCAGTGCAGAGACATCAGAATAGGAGTGATGTGTGCTCTTCTGTTTGCTCCAGATAGGAGCCTCGCTGCAGAGTTCTGGACCAACTGTAGGAGGTCAAGGGCTTTTTTGTTGAAACGTGTGAAAAGGGTTAGGGTGGTGCGCGTGCGGGGTTCGGGGGCCACAAAGAGGGGGGCCGCGGGCCGCCTATTGAGGACCACTGCTCTAGAAGCTACAAGCAGATCGCTGACAAGACTGTCCAGCAGTGTGAATAGTAACAAGGATGGTTCTATCATTTTTCTGGGTGGTGATGAGAGTATTGAGACTCATAAATGAGGAATCAATGTTGTGAGAGGATACAAGGAGCAGTGTTGTTAACTTAGCGACTTTGTCACCATTTCTAACGACTTTTCAGACGCCCTTAACGCCTTTTTTTTTCAAAAAATTTTAATTGTTAATTGTTAATTTATTTTCTCACTCAGCAGTTTCATTCATCATTCATGCAAAATACAATCATCAACAGTTTCCTATGTGAAAACAAGGGGGAGGAAGAAGAGTCTTGTATGACCTACCCCTTTCTACTTCATTCAATATAATTTACAGAATGGCCTTATACACAAACCAAGTATAGAACTTCCTTATCTTTGTAAACAAAATCACAATAAAACATATCAATATACTTATTCAATATTTACTTATCAATCATGGGATTCTATGATTTTTTTTCTTTATATAGTCTCTTAAATTGATCGGTAGTTAAACATTTTTTTCAGGTCATGATCCAGATTATTCCATAATTTTACTCCATATACTGAAATACACATTTGCTTTAATGTTGTTCATGCAAAAACTCTTTTAAACTCAGGCTTCTTTCTACTTTTTCCATCATTTGAAATCAAAACAAAAAACTTCTGTAACTTCACTGGCAGTAACCTC